GACTTATTCCCTGATGTGAGTTCAGCAGCAATTTCAAAAAGTAAAGACAGATTCTTCTCAGAAGAAAATTTCTATGGCCTGTGAAATCTAGAAGAAATAAGAAACATTTTTTCAAACCACTTTGAAATAAATAAATATATATACACATTTTTTAAATCCTCTTAGATTAACAAAACAATTGTGCTTCTTTTAAGGAAACAGTATTCATTCTGTTTAAAGGTAGAGTAACAGTTAAGCAATGTTGAGCCGATGCTTTGGAAAATATGAGGACACTGTTCATTTAGTGTATGGTAGTCTTAAAACCTGCTTGGAATTAATGAAAATACACTCTTCCTCTGTAGGATTTTTCTTGTAGCTGAGCGATGTAATTGAAGTCCTGATAATTTTTAATGTCTTAGCACTAATTATAAATTTTAAGCCTGTTTACTCCTAGTATCCTGAACAAATTTCAAAATATATCATTATAATCTACTTAAACTCCCCAGGTAGCTTCAGTTAGAGAAGGTATATCTATCTCATTTTCAGACTTGAAGTGCAGCCAGCCCATTTTTCACTCCTATATTCCATTCCAACACAGTGATATCTTGCCATAAACATTGAGTCTGAGCCTTGGAATGTTAAAAAAGTCTGAACAGTTGCATGAGCATTCTAGATTTATACAGCTTTTAGATTAATGTACATTGCATTTATGGCCCAAGTGTATTTGTCTAGATCATTTTGTCTTGAACACCCAAAGCTCAATTAAGCTAAAATTCATTCTGAGTTCAAAAATAAGCATGGAAATGTGGGTCCAGGCACTGCTGAAATGAGCCTTCCAGGATGGGAGACTGCACACCAAGTGCTTTAGGGCTGTGTCAGGCAACTTATTCTAGCAGCAACCACACCAGAGAATGCTTACAGCCTGGCAAGAGTATACTGTGCTCCCAGCAACTCCTAAAATACTGTTGTAAGAGCAATTGGATTTGCTCAAGAGACCTAATCAAAATTGCAGGAAAGAACTGATTGCTATTTAAATTTTCCTCTAACTAACAAGGTAGGGTTTTTTCCAAGTAACAGTGGCTGTGGAATCAGCCTCTCACATTGTTTTCCCACTTAGGAAAGGGAAATTAATATTTTCATGCATGTTTAAACATAGTACATGTCATAAGTGCTGGCACATGCAGTAAGCACTAGACTGACTAGGGTCACACTGGCCCAGCCACACAGAGAGACAAGGTTCCAAACCAGTCTCCTGCTGGACTGCAAGTAAGTGTGCTTGTCAGGCTGCTCTCCTTCCATTAGCAGTCAGGACTCAAGCAGATTGTTCTTAGCAGCTGGAAAACTGACCTTGTCAAATGCTTGCTTGATGCATGTACCTCCATTTCATTACTTTTGTATTCATTTAGCTCTTTCCGTATTGCTGCCTAGGGATTGAAAAGCGAAGTAAGTTAACAAACAATTTTCTGTTTATAAGCATTGTAAAATACGGGACTCACAGCAGAACAGCAGTTCTAAAGGAGAAAAAACAGGTATTTGGCTTAGCAAAGCAGACTATGCCAGTAGAGGTGCTGAATATTTACGTTTTATTTATTAGTGATACGAAACTTGTATCATTCATTACTGATTGCTGAGAGGGTCAGTTCTGTCTAGAAGCAATTCTGAGAGAAGAATAAAACCACAATGCTTATTGTCTCATTTAATAATATTCAAGTTAAAAATTATTAAACACTGAAAGATGTTGCAGGGAAATTGATCAGCAAGTGTACTGGAATGTACTGGTGCTTTCCCAGATTCTGTATATTTGGTACTTCATAGATAGCTACCTATACATGTGAGGCTTACCTATGTTCATGTTTCATATAGGAGATTTGGCTTATTAAAAGAAAAATGAAGAAAAATAATATATTTGCCTACTCTGAAAGAGTTGTTTTTCAGTCACGAATGCAATGGTCAAACTCCTGACCTGGAATTCCTGAGATAATTGAACTCTGTCAGTTTCTTTTTAGCTTATAAACCTTCCTAGTTAAGGATATGAAAGCAGTAAAACTAGAGAAGGCCTCATTTTAATACATACCCAGTACATACAAGGAAAAAAACCAAAATATTTATTCTTTTCATTGTAGCTCACAATAGCTCATTCACCATTTCAGTGAGCTCAGGAGACCAGCTACAGTAGTAGAAATACATTGTTCCTTCTCTGACTGAGCACTCTAAAACCATTTATTACACTTTTTACTGGGGAGGCACTGGAGTGAAGTGTTTGATCTCCTCAAAACAAAGCAGTAACAAACCTGTGTTTCCAATTTTACCCAGTAATTATCTCAGTATCCCTACTCATTCTGCTTGCTGCAACCCTGGAACTTCAAAACTCATTCAGCAACTGGAACCTGGAAAAATGCTGAGCTATTATTTTTACTACTCAGGCACCTAAAGGTCAAAGTCAAATTAGGATGTAACCATCTATGTGGCAGGTATGTGATGGACTGAGTGTTTGTTTACACTTGTGAAAATGTGGGATCAAGTAACTCCTTGAGAATTCACAGGAAACAGGAAAGGAAATATTTACATGTTTAGAAACACAGTGGAGGATATTTGCCCGTTTGGGATAAAACTTCCAGTGTAAGGATAAATGTTAATACTGCATTGGCTGGAAATGTTTTTGAGTTGCAACCCTAAAGCATCAAGAAACATTGTATGCAGCTTTGTTTTTTCCTTATATCAATTGCTGGGCAGGGAAGAAGTCCTTATAGTACTAAATAGGCATTTTTCTAAATAGCATTTATATTATGCATTGGTCAGTGTGGTTTCAGCATTAAAAATAATGCTAACATTTACAGATGTTAAATGTCCCAGAGGTTAAATGTCTTTGCAAAATGCAATATATCATCACAGACAGAGTAAGTAGGAAGCAGTAATAGGTCATGTTAATTGTGTCAGCACCTTATCTGCTGCTGACAGTCTTGTCCATGGTTTATCTGCTCGCCTGTCGTAGTCCTGTGCTTTCGCCACTTCCACGTAATCACTGAATCGAATCAGAATTTTTCTGTCTCTTAGTTCATCAACTGTAGGTCTCTGGTTAAGCTGTATTAAATAGTTTTGTAAAATAAAACCAGTGTTAGTAACAAACATATCAATAAACATACGTTTTCTGCTTTCCATTTTTTCTTAGTGTGCATTTATTGTTTACAAATATGTAAGGGGTGAGTGTCAGGGGGACGGAGTTAGGCTTTTCTCAGTGATGACCAGTGATAGGACAAGGGGTAATGGGTGCAAATTGGAGCATAGGAAGTTCAAGGTGAATATCCAAAAAATTTTTTTTACTGTAAGAGTGACAGAGCACTGGAACAGGCTGCCCAGGGAGGTTGTGGAGTCTCCTTCACTGGAGACATTCAAAACCCACCTGGATGTGTTTCTATGTGATGTACTCTAGGTGACCCTGCTCTGGCAGGGGGGGTTGGACTAGATGATCTTTCGAGGTCCCTTCCAACCCCTAGGATTCTATGATTCTATGATGATTTATGAATATGGAAAAAAAACAACCCATCCCTTGGAAATTGCAGCAAAATACTCAGACTTCTACAGGATTTTTAGGAGAGTAATAATGGTTTAATTGGAGCTGTGGGAAACAGCACAGTGACTTACGGACAAAAGAGGAAAGTATTTTAACCTGGTTATTGATAAAATGTATTTATAATATGCAAAGGAAGCATAATTAACTTATGATCATCTGTGTATAATGTATGTAGTAGAGGGTTTCTACTACAGTCTGGGAAAGGTTTTCAGGAGTAGACTTGTAAGAATTTCAGTTTGGCTTTAACAAGTTATCAGCATATTTGGCTTATAATTCCAGTAGAGATTCCTAGGAACAGTACAATAATAACACGACACAGTTCTGATTCTGAGAATACTTTAAATGCAAACAGAAATCTTATTGTAGGAGCACACCTAGTGCTCAGCAGGGAGTCAGCTCTGCTATTGATTGCTACAAAGAATAAACTAGTCCTTTTCTAGCAATATACCTGCATAACATGCAGTGTGCAAGTAACACCCCTATTCTGATGTAAAGTTTATACTTAAGTGTTCTACTCAGTCTCACATAGCTGAGATGAGATAGATATTTTGATTAGGTACTCATATTACTAAATACCACTATTTCAGACACTGCTGAGCAGGGTGTGTGTTATGGAGGGGTTGTGTAATAATGGCTTCCATGGCTGGTTAATGTTATATTAGCTTTTCTAAGTGTCTAAAAACTGATAGAAGATATTGCAAGATTTACCTTTCTTGTCAGTCTCTGTTTGATTTCCCTTCTTTCTTCCTGTTCTGTTTGATCATTTCGTTCTGTAGAGAATATATATATTAAAAAAAATAAATTACATTCCTTATGAGAAAGATTGATAGTTCCAGTAGTTCCAGGCAACATAAATTAGATAATATAAAAACCTAGTAGCTGGTTATTAGTTTGTATGTTTTGTTAATTCAGCACCACTCTCTGGTTCTCTCTCAGAACATATAGTTATCTCTGTGAGGAAAATGGGTGCCAATGTTAGTTTTTCCTCTGCTCTAAACTCTAATTCCAAGGAGATTTAATAAAAGTAGCAGCCACACCAAGTCTCAAATTGTACAAACTTCAGAAGGAAAATAAAAATATTCTATATTTAATTGTCATTTTTTATTCTCCATATTGCTGGAGACATTAATTGCTGTCAGATACTGAAAGGACTTACTGCAGCAGCTTCAGGGAAAGCACGTTCTTTCCTTTATAAGTTTTTTCCCAGGCTACATCTTGATGTGGTCCCAGTGCCACAGCAGTTAGCTTTGAGTTGCCTGCCTTTTTCTCTGCTATTCAGGATATGCCACTGACGTTAGAACCTCTTTATCCTCACAGGGTTTTTCTTTTATAATGTTCCATTCTAACCAAAGCCAGCTTGCCTTTGTGTGCTGTGCCTATTAACATTCAAGCCGTGGTAACTCCTACACACTGGGTCTAAAAATAGACTAGAGTGCTGTAATACTGTGTGAAATATATCCCTTGCCTTGGGAAACAAATTAATGGTGTTTCTATTTTTAGTGCTATCTGTTACTAAATCAAGGGGTGAGCCTATGACCTGAACAAAGCTGAAGACCTAGAGAAAAAGGTTTAACCATTCAGGGATTCTCTAGATACTACTGTGAACTTTATTATACCACAAGCGTTAGGTATTTCCAGTGTTAAAGCACACGTGATTTTGAATATGCCTCAAAAAGACAGTAGGCACTGCAGATTAGTTTCCAAAATCATATTTTTAGTAATGAAGTATTCTTCTCCCTTATTTTTAGGCTCATTAGATTACACTGAAATTCCACCGTAAGTATCTATTTAAAAGAAGATAGTCCTGGGCTATAGCAGACATGTACATCAAATTAATCTAAAATGCTATAATGTGCTGTATTACAATTTGGTGGTGGCAAGGCACACAAATTGAAAAGAGAAAAGGACAGATAAAATTAGTACCCTGTCAGGGATGAGCAGCTATTTAAGTCTGGAATGTTCAAAAAGAGACCAGCCTTTAAAAAGTAAAGTGTATTCTAAGACATGGAGATACCTGCAAGAAGGCACCCATATGCTTAATTTAGTTTTAATTCACCCTTTTAAAAGTAGATATTCCTATCTATATGTATTTGTTAAAAGAAGATAGCTTTCTATGACATAATGGCTTTTTTAAGAGATAACTGATATGCACTGAGAGAATTCCTAAAGAAAAACCCCAAATACACATTTCTGATCAGAAAATGCTTTTCCAAACATACTAAACACATACAGTGAACCGTTTCTATGAGTCATTCACTCAGGTGCTGTGCATGCATATCTGCAGTTTCAAGAAAGACAAGAAAGAGTTCTTTTATAAAAAATAACCCCAGATTAGATAGGGAATGCTAGCCAGGGCGTAACACAACTCAGGCCTTATTACAGACAAACCAGGGATATTTTCCCATCAATGTCACTGCCCACACATCAATCCATTCATTAGTGAGGGCTGGGACAATTCCTGGTGTTGAGGATGAACTGGGATGGTACAGTGTGATTTAAGAGATGCTGTCTTCTTAAATGTGAAACAGCTTGCTGTTGAATGCAGGAAGAACACGTGGGTTGTGATTTTAGTTCATATGCTTTGCAGGTTTTGTAGTAAAGTAGTGTTTCTATAGTAAAAGTAAAGGGCTTGGAAAATCAACAAGATTTTAAGAAAGTGTTTGGTATAAGTTGCTTCTTAAGTATTACTTTTATCTCAGAAACATCTCCCTAAGAGACAGGAGTCATCACTATTTTTTATCTTACCAAGATTTGCTTTAAAATAACATAGTAGTTGCACTTAGGCACTTGCAATATGCTTCTCATTTTGACAAGATTTGTACAAATGTGAATTATTAGTCCTTAAAGCAGCTTTGGGGGTACCACTGCCTCTGTTAGCAGTGTGCATTATGAACATCAAAGATGTAATGACACCTAGGACTCAACGCTACAAGCCCTTACAACCTGGAGGAGGTTGTAGTGATTTCACTGAAGAGCATTTATGCTGCGACAGCTTTGCATGTCAGTCCCAGCCCAGGTGTCTTCAAAGTCCATAACAAGAACATCAATATCCCTACTAATAAACAGAGACTTTACTAATTTCCAGATTCACTCAAAACTGAGACTAGGGTTGTTGCATCTGTCCAGCCTTTTAACATTACAACTGACACAGGTAAGTGATTACCCTAGCTCTTTACAAGATATATAGCTTTGTATATTATGGAAGAAGTAAATAAAATAGAAGTGGTTCTCATCTCAGCTGAACCTGTATAAAGCCTGAGCAACTGAACTGAAGTCAATATATTTACTCCATGCTGGGAGCTCTTTAAATGAGATACAAATCTAGACTAGTATGTTTAGCTGGCATTCAGGAAATATCTTTAATTCTGCTTTATCTTCTTTCTGCTTTATCTTCTTTCTGCTTTATCTCTCTCTAAGCTCATTATGTGAATGTATTCAAACTTTTTTATTATTAAAGCTGGTCAGTTTAACCCAGATTAAGGATGTAACCAGCACACTTCAAAAAGTAAACATAAAGAAACAGATTTTTTTCAGTAGAGATCAGCTCTTCCTCAGCCAGGAAAAAATGCAAAGAAACAGATTTTCTGAGATCTTAGGTTCTGACTCTTGAAAATCTGGTCCCACATATTTCAGAATCTTGGCTTAATGTTTTTTCTTGTCCCTTGTGGTAGATTCCAAGTGAAGTTAGGGCCAAGCTGATCCATTCACATTTGCAAACAATGTATCCTGTGTCTCATTAGCTATGCATATATTAGAGACATTTCACTTTATCAGGTGCAATGTACACATACTGAAAATGCCAATAAATATAAGCTGACTAGGGAATTCCATGTACATTAAAACTGAAATGAAATCCCCAATAACTTCAATGGCAAAAGCATGTTTTTCCTATGAACTCCGAAGAAAGTTCTGAGATATTAAATTTTAGGTAACAAAATATGGATAACTTTTTGCCTAGCAAATTACAATCACAATAATTAAATATTAATTAAATAGCATAGGCAGCATTTCTTGTATGACATACATTTATGTGGCTTAATGTTTTATGCTTCTTTAATGAGAAACAAACTATTGTTCCCATAATTCTGCTTTTTGTCTTTCAACACTAAATAGACCATGAAAACAACAGAAGTAATCTACTTTTCCTTCAAGCAGATGGCCTCCCCCTTTCTCCTGTCTGAGTCTCATAATGGAGACAATTTCAAGCTTTCTCCCACTTCCTCTTTACTTAGAGGATTCCCCAGCACTTGTAGGTAAAGAGATTATGTTCACCACTTGTTTGATTCTCAGGTCAGAACACCAGTCTTTAGGAAGAGTTGCAAGTTCCTGTCTTGTGTTTAATTGAGAGATGTTGAGAACATTTCCCTGTGGCAGCATCTACAACAGGCCTGGAACTGTCACTCTGATAACTCAGAATGATCTTTTGTTGACTTGTTTTTGGGAAGATACTTGCTAGGAGAATCACACCTCCACAAGGATGCTTTCTCCATTCCACCTAAGCCTTGGTGACATTCAGTGTACAGTTTGCAGTGACAGTCCTCATCTTGAAAAACAACAGTCCAATTCGTACTGCACCGTGTGACACTAAGATTGTGTTCCTTGCTTAGATATCCATAACAGTGAAATCAGGGGGAACATTTAGAAGCCTCAATTTGAACAAATCATTCTTTTCCGTACTCACTTGATCGAAGTGTGAATTCTGATGCCTGCAGTATTTGAAACCCAGGACATGTGAAAAATTAAAAGTTTTAAGCACAGAAAATAATCCCAATGAATGAATCTGTCTATTTAAAAATAATATGTTCTAGAAATGCAATTGCTTGTTTCAACAACTATCATATAAAATACTTTAGGGAAAAAAAATACTCACGTTTAAGTATATTTCTTCTTTCTAGCTCCTCAACAGCAGGTCTTTGGCTGAGTCGCCTGCGAAAAAACACCAAAATCACATTTTGTACCATGCCTGTTCTTTGGAAAGTCTGCAGTGTTCTGAGATCTGGTTGGTGTTTTCCTCAGGGAGGGGACTACAAAATCCTTCTCCAGGACTCAGGAAGGAAAAAAAATACAAGAATCCTGGCACCAGAATGCTTTCTTCTCTTATTTTTCCCAAATGTCAGCAATGCAGGTAGAAGTTCTCCCCTAGTTCGCTCTGCTGTCAGTGAAATGCTTCCTCAGAACGTCCATCCTTTTCACCGTACTTTCCAGTCACTTGGAACCAGTGCTCTCCAACAGTTAAATTCACTCTTGAGAGGTTATTTAAGGTGGTTATCAAATGAGTTTCATAGGGATCTTCTGTAGCTATCACTGCCTCTACCTTTAAATCTCACATAGCAGCTTCCTTTTTTCTAGTTACACCAGTGGTGCATCCTGACAAAATGCAGACTTGCCAGAAATAAAGCTTTCCTGTGGTTTCCCGACTGCCCGTCTAACAGACCAATCCAGCAGCTCTCCTCCTGCCTGATGAATAAAATTCGTGTGCTGCTCACAGCCTCATGCTGTCTGAACGGAGTGTCTTAGGCAGTTTCACCTCCCCTTTTCAGTTGTGCTGCTTCAGGATTGAGTCTTCAAATCATATGATCAGTGCCACAGCAATTTTATTCTGCATACTAAATGAGACTTCCCCTGAGACACTGCTAATATCTGCAGAGGATCTCAGGTAATCAAACCCCTCCCCTAGGCAGACACACACATGCTGCATTTCTAGCTTCCAAGTAATAATCCAGCAAGCAGATCAGGAAGAGGTTATGATGCTTTCTGGCCTGTGTTCTGGCAACGTTTAAGGATTCTCATCCTCTCCTGCAGATGTTGCCAAGCCAGAGATGGAGTTACAGAGACAAAGAAATACCCAGAGCAGGGACCACACTGCAAACCACTGTTGTGGTAATTATCCTTCCACTATGTATGACAAATAAAGGAACTAATATAAAGTGATGCTATAAAAAGATCTACATTTTATCAAATATACAAAAGATGGAAAAATTAAGTAACTGTTAACAAACTGTAAAAAAACTAGTAAAAGTACCTGATTCAAATTTCTCCTTGTTTTGTAATAAATATACAAACATACCTTCAAAATCAGCTCTACTTACATGTCCTGAGGTCAACAGTACAAAATATGAATGCAACTCCTTATCCTTTTAAAATTCATTTTCCTGAGATCACTGGGAAAGCTCTCGTTTGGCAACAGGAAGGTATCACAACTATTATACCAGATTCACCCCAACTGAAAATTTAGACTGTAGGTGTTTCTAAGCACTAGAGCTCATAATCTAACTCCCATTCTTGCTGCCTAACATTTCCTATCACCTAAGGTTTTTCTTCTGGTCTCCAGATTTCTTTTTGTAGTAGTAAATCCAAAGCCGAAACAGGAATGATGATGAAATGTATTTTGGTTCCTGTTCCCCTTGGACTCCTCCCTCATTTCACTGTGTATCTCAGAAATGATACAACACTGGCTAGGTTTTGTTTGAAAGAGATTAATGTGCATTTTATAATATAAATCAGGGAAGAATGACTTACTCAGCTTATCTGCAAATGAAAGATCCACCCAACCTGCTGCTTACATGCCTCTCTCTCAAGCCATTTGTAATTACACCCCTCTCATGCGAGATTATTATAGATTCTCCCAGAATCTGTACATTGGATTTCAGAGGCCCCTTTTAAGCTGGGGGATTAAAAGCCTAACAGAAATTATTAAAGCAGTATGAGAATGCATATGTGTAGGAAGCTCTGTATATATATATATATTTTTTTTTTATAGTTACACTCTATATGATGGTTAATTAGTTAAAACTTTGTTTCCCTTTTGGCTTTGATAAACATGGTAGGTGCCCAGAGTTACATATTCTTGTGCACACCCTCAGCTTTTCCCACAATAGAAGGAAAAGCAGAAATACACAGGCATATATATGCATGAGATTGCATTGCATTTTTTTCCCTGAGTTTTTCAGAGATATGGACAACACTTCCAAGATTTTTTGTCATACTGACAAAACTAGAAGTGGTTTTTTAATAAAAATAAAATTCTAACAGGGTTTTAGGAAGCTGGGGATAGAGAGAAAACACCAAATACAGTGAGAGTCATGATCAAACAATGACAAGTGGCAACACCACTGACATTTTTGCTGCCAAAGTTTAGAGAGACATTTTATTTCCATTATTTTTTTCTGCTCGGGAGAAGCTTCTCTCTTTCCAGAAACCCCTTTCATTTGCTTTCTCTGCTGTGGCAGCTGTGCTGTGTGGTGGTTGGGCTCCAGGTGAAGGACTCCAGATGCCTCCACCAAGGGCTGCTGATTGTAACGAGGGGAAGCAGCTGTGAGCTCGGGCTAGCCAAGCCCTGCTCGCACAGCACACAGCCTTGCCTGGTCAGCCATCTTAGCAAGAACTAGGTGCTGCTGTGTGTATTTACTGACTGAGCAGAGCTTGTTCTCAGTTGCTCAGCTGCTTTGGGAGGATGGAGGAGGGTGCTTCATCCCCCCATGGGGGTCTAAGCAGCCCCAACAGCACTTTGTTCCCTCAGAAGGGGTTCTCACACTCCTCCTTGATACCTCCAACTTCCCTCACAACTCCTCTGCAGCTGGCCTTGGATAAAGATAAGTACACTTTCCTGAGGGCTTGGTGGGTCAGCCACTCAGCATAGTGCAAGGGAAGCTGTAGGTTACCTCTGTCAAAAAAGCATGTCCTTCTTGAAGGGAGCTGATAAGTAAGAAATTGTTTCAGATGAGTTTGTGCCCCTGCTTGGGCGAGCCATTCCCCCGGCACCACGGGGCTACATGCCTTCCTGAGCAACAAGTGCTCTGGTTTGCTTTTTTACTTCTAGGTTGTTGGGGTCTTTTCTCCCAAGCTCTTAAATTACAAAATAATGCTACTGACATAAGGAGAAGACGTCCCCTGTGCATTCAGCTCAATGTTTTACCTCAGAAAGAGGCCACCTGGCCCTGTGGAGAGGCAGCACCGCAGCCTCAGAAGCATCCCCGGGCCTGACAGGAGCCCGGCCTGGGGAAACGGCAGCCGGCTCCCCTCACACTGCTGGGGAGCACGGGCCAGGAAGCTGGTACTGAGGGACAAAAGCTATAGAGAGGGGATGTTTATATCTCCTAAGTTTAAAGGAAATACATTCTAGCAGAAGCACTGTTACCAGCAAACTGCATTGCAGCATAGGAGCTGCTGTGTGACTCTGAAGGAGGGAAGCAGGCACCTGCCATACAGAAGTTTTTGTGAAGGCTGAAAACTAAACCCTCAGTGAATTGTGGGTGATCTCCACAAACTTTGCACAGAGGATTTTGTATTATAGAGCTGCAGGCCATTTTGAAGCAAATTGGAGTCTTGGCTCATTTCTCATGGCTTCAGTAGAGTCCCTGCACCTGTGTGGGTAGAGGCCATCCTGCACCCTGCCTGGGCACCATCCTGCTCTGCAGATCTTGCTGCAGGAGCCATTGAAGGTCTGCGGTGGACATGGAGCTCCAGCACTGCTGCAGTATCGATGTGGACATGGCTGGGTGAGTTCTGTGCTTTGTTTGTACTGGGTTTTTTTTACCTGGGGACTCACAAACCCCTATGGGACTCACCTCAGTGAGGTGACTGTAAACTCCACTAAGAGCACTAACATAGTGAACCACTTTCATTGTGTCACAGTAATGGTTTCTTTTCTGTTGATTTAAATTTAGATAGCTACTTCTTGTTTTGAGGAAGAAAATTACCCAGTTAATGCTTTTCTGTTCTGAGTTATGTTAAAACCTAGCTTTGGTTGGTTTTGCACTGTCTGCTGAGGCAGGAGTCCTCCCTCTGAGCACCTCTGCAGAGCCAGCCGTTTCTGGAAGGGTCTTGAAAGCTTTGTTAAAAACTCACAAGTCACTTGTAGGCAAGTCCTAGCTCTGTACAGATCCCCCCAGATCTGTAAATGTATGGAATGTCTTATGTTAAGTGTGATTGCTTAAAGAATCGGGGCGGGGGCACCACATGAATTCACAATGCCACAAAGCTGTTTCTCAAGTAAAAAAAAAACAAACAAAACTATGTCTGTGTTATTGTTCTGTGCATAGTGGGCATGTACCTTCAAGTACCTTCTTCAGCTGTCTGAAGTTTGGGGAGTGTTCTGGAGTATTTTCAGATTACCTTTAGATTGTTTTATTCAGTAATGTGCGCTTTGATAGATAACTGGATACATTTATATATTTTCATCTCTCAGAAGTCAAAGACTTTGCCATGTCCTTTTCCCCTGTCCTCTGCAGTGTTACTCCTGAGGGTGAGAGGAGCAGGTCATTGCAGGTTAGCCTGTGGTTTGCTCTGAGAACACCCTGTAGGTATGGCCATGTGCCCTCTTGGTCTCAAAGTACCTTGGATGCTGAGAGTCTGCACATGGCCTCAGGATATTTGTTTTCTCTATGAGATTTGCACATGGAAATACCATGAGTGCTCCAGAGGGACTCTAGGGGAGGGGCAACAAATTATGCATGTCTGTCTGTTTCCCTTGACTTACATATGCTGTGCATAATTGTAGCAAAATGGACTGCCCAGGGAGATAATGAGCACTGTCCCTACCAGCCCAATGGGTGGGGAAGCCTCTGTGGGCTTGACTGGTGGAGGAGGCTGCAGCCCTTTACCACGAGAGTCTGGTTGGAGGTCCCGCTAACTAACATGTCTGACGCATGCACAAGTGCAGAATCTGGATTTGGCTTTGAGGGGAAAACCACTAATTGGTCATTCCCTCTGGAGCAATGTCACATGTTCATGAGACCAATGGCTCTTACATATGCCAGTGACTGCTGATCAATAGATCACTATTTACTTCACAAAGTCAGATTGTCTCCTTCCCATTCAAGGGAATTAATGTTTTGGAATAAGCATTACACCAGGGCTGATGGTATTGCACTCTTGCAGGTGACTGAATCTTCAGCAGTCCAAGGATTTGCATGTGTTACTAGGAT